ATTAGTATCCTGTAAGTATTAAAAAAGTTATGATGATATTGAGTTCTTCGCGAGCACGGTCTTGATCTCCGCGGTGTTATTTGGCCACTGGATTGGCTATTTGAACTGAATGTTAAGTAAATAATTAGTTGACAGACGCAACAAATTTAAAAATTAATGTGCGCAACAATTACAGTAACCGCACAATTATCGATAAGATTCAAATGACTATTTTCGACTACCTACTGGCCTGGGTAACGCACACCATTTTGCGCCTGAGCCCCTAGGATCAGTGTCAGCTACCAATCTTTTAACTATAAGGTTGGTATTACCTACAGCAATTGTCTTTCTACTATTGAACTATTAAGGGTCAACTCACACCGAAAGAGCGGCAAAGGGCAGCGAAGCGGAGCGCAGTTTCATATGAATTTTAACTTTATTATCATTACCATAATACTTTTATCGCATGAGAAACTCTGAACGAGTCGCGCGGATGCCCGCGGCGCCGCAGGAATTCCATAAATGGAACCGAGCGACTGCGTGAGAAGTTGCGGGAAGTCCCGAGAATGTTCGAGCAGTAGCGAGCTGCCGCTGGCAATATCCCCCCCTCGCGCGCGAGCATTCGCATTCATTCTTTTCAGTGCAACAATGTAGAAGTGATGGAAGATGAAGAAAAGGTGTGCGTTACCCAGGCAAAATGTTTTGCTTTAGAGAGATGAGACTTAAACAAATAATTAGTGTATCATGAGGAGCAATTTGTTTACTAATAGCAAAATTTGTTTGAATTGTAATTTTTAAGTTATTTGAGAAAAACAAATTTTGCTGGAGTAACGTTTGAAACGTTACCCAGGCAAAATAGTCTTTCAAAAATTAGTTTCAGCACGGAACCAAATACATGAATAGATAGCTTTTGTTGAGTAGTAAATGTTTATAAATAGCAAAATTTGTGTGTGGTATAGTTCTTTAGTTATTTAAGATTTTGCTGCGGTAACGTTTTGGGATTTCCCAGATCTCGAAAACGGCTCAACGCAGAAGTTTGAAAAAAATACCAATAAAAGACCTCAATTTGTTTAAATTTGTTTAATCATTAGTTTTTGATTTGGTTGACGTAAACCAATGTAATTAAATGGTTTCAAAAATCAGAAGAAGCGGGTTTACATGTAAACCAATACACTTATAACCAAATAAACAGCTGTAAAAAATACCCGTGGTTCGACGCTTGTTTACATCAGAAATATTAGATTTCATACTTTACACATTAAGAAGATAAAAACAAATTTGATTTATTTTAGACTGGTCGTACTTTAGCGATCGAATACGCAGTTCCCATAACATTAAGAAACATGGCATACTTTAAACAAATTAAAATGATTCATGAAAATTCTTTCCTGTTAATTTCAGCCTTGAATTACGGCTCTAATGAAAGTTATCTCAAAAACAAGAATATGTCAGCAATTCTC